AAAAAATAAATAAAATCTAATATATATATATATATATATATATATATATATATATTATTCATTGAAACAAGGTGATTTTATTTACTTGCTCTGGGCCTCTTGCCTGACTGAAATGTTAGATCAAGTCTCTACACCAGAAATAAAAGATCCAGCCCCAGATGCCTTGACATTCGCTTATCTCTTACTCATTTTAGAAGACAAATAACCATTGAAACCAATCATGACTAAACAATGGAAAAATAATATATCAATTAATATAAATGATTAATCAGTGTATGAATCAATGAAATGAGTATATAAATTGATTCAATGGTTATCATGAATGATTATATGATTAAATGGAATAATAAACTGATTAAATGATAAATGATTATAAATGAATGAATTAATGAATATAAATGAAAGAAGGTAAATCAAAACAGATGTATGGTTGTTTTGTTGAAGCAACACACACAGGTTACTGTGGGCATGCTGTATAACATGGCCATGACAAACTCACACAGCTGCATGAAGAGCTTCATAAACACATGCCGAAATAAAATCACCAACAAGTTCATATCTACCAACTGCAAAAGCTGACATACGCAAATTATGCCCATACTTGGTAAAAAATTGTGTAAAGTCAGTGTTTTCACTGCGTTCCTCTTGCTCTCTCTGTCTCTGCTCTTCTTCCTCTTGTCTGAATCTCAGAACATCTTCAAACATCTGATTACTGTAATGTCCTCCTCCATTCTGCTCTATCATTGTGTCAATCTTCTGCAGAAGATCATTCACCTGCTCTCTGTTATTCTCATCTCTGTTGTTGAATACCTGATATCTGTTTCCACACTGCTGAACTAGATGTCTTAATCTACTGTTCTCCTCAATGAGCTCCTCCAAGGGCTCATCTAGCTGATCTCCATGAGTGAAGAGAATGATGGAGTATTGTAACACCTCCTGACCAAACATCATCTCAATCATCTGAGGAATCTGCTGCTCCTGTTCAGTGAATCTGTCAACTCTGAACACAATGAGAAATGCATGAGGTCCAGGACTGGATAAATAAACACTTCTTGCTATCTCTGTCATTAACTTTCCAGGCCTCATCTGTGTGTCAAAGAATCCAGGAGTATCAACTACAGACACAGATCTGCCTGAAACAGTGGTGTGTGCTTCTGAACATTCAGTTGTTACTACAGTCTGTCTTTTCTCAGATCCGAACTCTTTCTGTCCCAGTATTGTCTTTCCACATGCACTTTTCCCTACACCAGTTTCACCCAGCAGCACAATCCTTATGGATGAGAGACTGACAGCAGGAGTCTGTTGATCATCTTGTCTGTTTGCTCTGCTGTCAGGAATCCATCTGGTCAGCCTCCCTCCATCTAATGCTGCATCAAACACAAAACAGACATAAGTGGTAATTTAGATGCTTATAATTTTACGTACAGGGCAATCTTTTAGGAAGATCATGAGGAAAAGTGTCTTCGTGAAATGCATAGATCAGCCAGCAACTTGTCAGTTAACAGCCCTGAGATTTAACCACCACCACCACCACCACACAAACACCCCACAGATCACATCTGAAAGTACAGATGTTTTATTGGTTGAAATCAGTCTAAAACCCTAATATGGGTCTAAGGATCAGACCATCATTGCATGGTTAATGTCAAAATAATGTTCTTGAATATTCTATTCACATGTTAATTCAAGGCAATTTTAAGAAGGGAACAAAATGTGATGAGAGGGATCCACTAAGATCATGGTATAGTCTATAGCAGTGGTTCCCAACCCTGGTCCTGGAGGCACCCCAACACTGCACGTTTTGCATGTCTCCTTAATCAAACACACCTGATTCAGGTCATCAGCTCATTAGTAGAGACTCCAAGACCTGAAATTGGTGTGTCAGAGAAAGGAGACATGCAAAATGTGCAGTGTTGGGGTGCCTCCAGGACCAGGGTTGGGAACCACTGGTCTAGAGCAGTGGTTCTCAAATAGGGCCACATTTTCATGGTCATTTGGCCACAACCCAGATTTTTAGGCAGCGGTACTGGCCATCTGAAGCACTAGAACATTTCCCGGTGGCCTGATGGTAGTTCTGGCCTGCCTTGCAGTCAGCTTGACGTGTGATAAGCTGATATGTAGCTAGGAATTAATTGACTTACCTCTCAGAATCTATGAATCAGGCAATCGCTGTGTGAAAATGACTCCACACATGACAGACTGAGCTTGAGGGTATACAGGTAAAAAGGGGATTGTTTTATGGCATTCGTGGCTGGCTAGCACCACCAGTGCTGAAGACCCGAAGGAAGTGGAGAAAACCCAGATAGAAGGTAAGCCTCCTAATATTGCCACGGAGGGAAGATTGTGTCTTCTTTGTGATGGCTATGTGTCATGGGTTAGTGTTTGCTGTGAATTTTAAATGTGTACTTTTTTATTTTTTTTACTGAGTGTGCTAGGGATGGAGAAATGAAGCCTCTTAAATCTTTGAAGGTTTATTTCGGGAAAAGAGTTGAATTTCAAAGTGGCAGGAGTGTAGAAAACAGGTTACATTTAAGCAGCCATAAATCAAAGTTCGCAGATCCGTTAATTTAGTCATTAGGCACAAATAAAAGCCTGACGATGTTAAATGTATTCAACAACAGGTGAAATGAGATGTCAATCAGCAACAAGTTGCAAGTAGTGAATTAATAATGAATAAATCATTTGTTCAAGTTCAAGTTCAAGTTCAAGTCTGCTTTATTGTCAATTTGTAATACACTTTGACATAACTGAGATCAGTGGCGGCTCGTGGGTTTTAAAATAGAGGAGGCACACTAATTGTATTGGTCTGGGATCCCTGCCGATTATTATTATTATTATTGTTTGCTTAACCACTATAAAATGGCTTTTTGGTTGCTTTTAGTCAGAAAACGTAAAGAAAACGACATACATACCTGGCCTATCACTTGAAGCAAACATCCATCCCTTCTTAAAAGTCTGTGTTAAAAGAGAGCTGCCTGTTGCGCCATTTAATTAAGCCGACTGCTGTAGCCTATATCCAGCTTAGGCTGTTTTCCCTAAATGTGTATATATACTGTTTGAATGACAGCTTGGTAAATCTGTTGGCGATCAAATATTTAATATCGCTAACTTACTCATCATAAGTACTTGGTACATTATCAGCGCAGCGGCATGTTCAAACTATTATCATTTAATTTACGTCTCTATGATGACTGGGTGATATCAGGAGGCTAGCCTCCCTTACAAGGATTCTTTTCTCAACACTCCTCAGCGCTGAAAGTGAACACTCGATGGTGATTGGCTATTTTTTTTTTTTTACCAACGGAGGCACGAGAGCTCACCTCTCCCCCGGCCTTCTATATCACCCAGCAGTTGTAATTACATCAGCAGATTCAGCGCTTTCACGTTATGGTATTACAACTGTGAAATTACAAACAAAAAATACACATTCTGAGACATGAACTGAAAATGCTGATTGGCTAATTGTTTTTACCAACGGAGGCACGAGAGCTCACCCAGAGCCATAGAAAGAGAGAGTTGCGTCAACGTAAGCAAAAACGCTCGATCGTCACGTGATTCACGTAGACCTCAAATAGTTCCAGGAAGTTCATAGCGGGCAAGTGAAATACATTGAGTTGGAGAGACAGAACTGTGATTTTTGGTAATTAGTTGACAATAAAATAAGTTATTTACATTATTTATAAAATAATGTATACGTAGTATATATATGTAGTTATATTAGTAACTGCGCTCGACTGCACAATCCGACACAGCCGCGTGAGTTTTTTTGCACACGCCAGCATGACATCAGGGCAAGTCGGAGGTACGTCGGACAGGAAACATGGGATTATAGTGCCAATTGCAAAACCAGGCAAGGACCATACGCAGCCAACTAACTACAGACCCATAGCTTTAACATCAAATTTGTGCAAACTGATGGAGCGTATGGTTATGAGTAGACTTGTATATGTCATTGAGAAGGAAAATCTCTTATCACCATTCCAAAGTGGATTTAGGAAAGGACGTAATACAATGGACTCTATACTATGTTTGGAATCTGAAATAAGAAAGGCTCAGGTAAACAAGGAAGCTTTAGTTGGGGTATTTTTTGATGTCGAAAAGGCATATGATATGATGTGGAAAGAGGGACTTTTAATTAAATTAGACAGAATGGAAATTAAAGGAAGAATATATAACTGGGTCAGGAATTTCTTGTTCAATAGAACTATACAAGTAAGAGTGGGTACTGCAATGTTATGAGACTTAAACGTAACCGTTTGCCAATGGATGGCAATGGATTTTGACGGATGTTGGCTATATTTATTCAAAGGAGGCTTATGCGTGTATCTTTACAGAAGCAGCAAAGGGAGCCGCTTCAGAAACGGGACGACATCGTGGTCTTCTGCCAAGGTAACTTCAGCATCTCTATATAAATATAATTATAAATGTGTGTGTGTTCTTACAACTTGCTTGTTAGTCAAGTTCAATCACAAATATACCTGTTCATTGTCGTTTTACTAATCTCGTGGTAAATGTTAAGTTTGTTGTCTTAGAAAATTCATTCCAAATAAATGAAGATATTTTATTAAGTGAAAACTAATCTTGTTTAATGTTTCTGATTCTTGTGCACCCCTCAGTTATTAATATATAAAATATATTTGTAGTATATTCCAATTTAAAACATTTTTACACATTTAATCATATATTTTATGTATGTTGACTTTTGTTATGCACTTATTTACAGCAATCAATTTATACATTTATAATAAACTATAAAGCATGTTGTCCTTGAACAGTCTCCACTATAGTTTGCTGTGCTGCATGGGAGTGCTCCAGTCACTCACAGAAAGGAGTGTGAATGTATGGTTTCCCTACTGATCTGGAGAGGAGAAAAAAAATGATGCATCAAGTTTTGTTCAATTCACATTTATTTGTATTGCACTTTTTAATATACACATTGTTTCAAAGCAGCTTTACAGAAAATGAATGTTTCTACATTAC